GCTGGGAATTTGGAGGTCACCGAAGACGACTTGCAAATGGCAAACCAAGGGGGACTGAAGGTGGAAACTCCAGCAGAAATTATTCCTTGTATGGTGTTCTAAGTAGGTTTAGAGCTGGAGCCTGAGTGATGAAGAGGCACTATGATCTGATTGGGTCTGACTCGTCTTTGGGAAGAGAGCCTTCATGTGACAGGGAAAGGAAATGGAGTCGCTTTGAATGCAAGATTAGAAAACGCAGAGGAGGGACTCAATTTATGTAGCTGAAAAACACTGAGAAAGAGGTAAATTGTCTCTGAAGCTTTCCATAATAAAACCTCTTCTGGATGACACTGTTTAGTCTGGCCTTATTTAAACACTGAATAATATATTTGCATTTGTTACAGGCAATTGCAGTTCTAACCTCAGAGCAGGCTAGCTATGTATATCTAAGAAAGAGAGGTAAAAGTTCTTAAACAGTGTTGAGTATCAGGTAACTGATTCCATTTTACTGATATGAGGTATATTTTATTGCAGACTGAATCTTTTCAGATACAGATAGATGAGATAAAAAAATTAGCAAACTATTTTTTGAATTATTTGTGTTAAGGATTATAATCTTGTATGTTAGGAATATTTCTAATTTTTCTGGTTTTGAAAAAAAACCAGATCTGCTGGAAAAAAACTGAACTGCTAAGTGTGTTAAGAAAATTGTGTCAGTTGGTGCTGACCAAGAGAGGCCAGGAAACAGAGTATAGAATTACGAGTGTAAATATTTATTCATGTGCCTGAGGTATCCCAGCCAAACTGGGTCCCCCTGAGTGGTTTTACACAGGGTTCTTATAACCTTCAACCACTCAGCTACAACATGATTTGACTAATTACTGAGACCCACACGACTGATTTCTAATCATAGCAAAACTTTGCCAAGCAACTGTATTTCTGCAGCACTCTTGCTGCTTGTCTATTGATCCAGATGTTCCTGGGGACATTTTGCCAGATAACAGTGGCAGGGTTTCAAAGACATAGCAGAGGGGCTAGGATGCTGGCTTTATCTGGGTTGTCCGTGGGTGTCCTTCATTCTTCATGTATGTCCTATGCTTCCAAGAAGCAAAGTCCTTATTTCCAGGGCTGGGCTGTCCTTTAGCTTGTTTTACTGGAGTATGAACAATATCAAAGACTCCAGTAAAATTCCACTATCTCATTCCATTGCACTCTATAATGTGAACTAATACATAGCAACAAAGTGAATACACTTTCATACTACAGAGACTGATTGATACAATAGTTAGGGAAGTAAATTTTCATAACACTACATAATCACCTTTGCAGAATAGCTGTCACTAGTCAGTAAGTGCAAATTGCCCCTGATGTTTTTCATGAGATCCAAATACGCAACTCCCAGCTGTAAATGCTCACATTACAATTACTCTCATGATCTATAGTCCTTTGTTATATCAAGTTATCTTTTTTTTTTCCAGACAGAAGCTTACTTAATTGTTCCCTATGTGAAAGTTGAGAGCAAAGTACCTTTGATCATTCTTTTTACCTTTCATTGAACCTTTTCCACTACTATTCTGTCTTTTCTGAGCTGAGGGAACTTAGAAACCCAAAGAGCTTTCAAGATGTGTTAAATCATGAATTTACACAGCAGTATAAGGCTGCTTTGTTCTCTGTTCTTTTTCAAATCTCAGCATACAGCTTGTTTTTATGAACTCTATTGTACTGAGGTGAGATTTTCACAGTACCAGTCAGTTTACAGTTTATAATTTTATATATGAAGTTATGATGTTTTTCCTCACTTTTATCTATCTAAAAATCTAATTGCCATTTTACTGCCTAATTACTCAGTTTCATGTCCTTCTGCAGATCTTTAGTACGTTTCTGTCCTTAAGTCCCTGAATAGATTGTTATCATCAGAAGGCTGTCACTTGAGTGCCCAGTTCCTTTTCCAAGTCACTTGTATGTTGAGCAGGTCCAAGTAGAGACTGATACAGCAGCACACCCACTCTATCTATGCTATGAGGATCACACATTCACTTCTGCCCCCCTCCCGTGTTCCATCTTTAACCATGCCAAGATATTTGGTCTTATGCAATTGCTGCTTAGTTGCTTTGACAGTCTTTGTCAAAACTCTTCTAGAAATCCCAACAGGCTGTATCAGCTAGAAAATCTTCTTCACACATTTCAAAGTATTTAGTAAACTACAGTGTTCCAAACTCCTCCATTGAGAGTGTTTTCTTACACTGCGAATCAAAAGATGTAATATACTCTGAGGGCAACGTCACATTTTGGAACTAAAAAATTCATAGTTGAGAGGATTCTTTTCCTCCAGACTTCCCTCTCTGATAGTGTTAGCTTTCCCTTTTCTTTTTTTGTGATCTGAAGAGCCTATCCCAATATCTGAGATCCCTGAAGAGGTGTGCTCATGTCTGGACAAGACCAAGCATTCTTTCAAATCATTCCAGTAGAGAATTGATTGTAAAATGTGACTTACTGGTTCCTCTTATCACACATGCTAACATTAAGATAAGCGAAATGGAGTTTAACTTTGAAGTCATGTACTGAAGAGCTCCATTTCTAAGACCTCATCTGAAAGGACTTTGGGCCCTGTGTTGGTTAGTTTCCTCTTTTAAGTGGAGGTTACGTACAAAGTAACATAAGTAACATTGTGACATTATATGCACTTTCAGAGGGCAACACGCCGTCAGTTTAAACCATTTTTTCTCCTTTTAAATTTGGATAAGGGCAGTTTATTTAAAAAGACATCCGGATTTTTCCGGATGCATCCGAAAACGTGCAACTACCACGTTACTGTAGGACTTGACTGAGCAACCTACACGGAACGCGTGCCCACGCCATCCAGTGATAAAACACCGTGGAACCGGCAGGGATGGAGAGCCACTGTTGGGAACAGCAGCGCATCCTTCGGCCCCTTGCATGTCAGGACGCGGAGGGACGGCCCGGGGCTTTCCTCAGCCTCCTTTCCACAGCCTGTTCCCGCACGGCGGTGCCGGGTCCCTCACGGGTGCGGGTGCCCAGTGCGGGCGCGGCCCCGCTCCCGGGTTCTCGATGGCGCTCCCCGGTTCTCGATGGCGCTCCCCGGTTCTCGATGGCGCTCCCCACTCGGTGCTCAGTAGAGCTCCCGGCTCTCAGTAGAGCTCTACCCGCGGTGCCCGGCGGCGGGCGGGGCGCGGCCGTGAGGTCAGTTCCGCCGCGGCGGTGGGCGGGGGCGGCGCGGGGGCCGGGGCCGGGGCCGGGGCCGGGGCGGCTGCGGGGGCTCGGCTGCCCGCCCGCCCTCCCAGGGTAAGCGCCGCAGGGCGGGGCGGCACCCGCGCAGGACGCGGGGCGGCGCTGCGCTGCTCGCCCGTGTCCGGAGACGAGGCGAGCGGCGGCGGCTGGCGGGGTCTGCCCTGAGGGTGGCAGCGCTCTCTTTTCCCTCCTCGCCCTCTTTCCAGCCAGGTAAGGCGCCCCTGCCCCCGGCCCGCGGCTCCCGCCGCCGCCCTGCCCGCTCTCCCGGCGGTGCCGGCGGTGCCGGCGGTGCTGCCCCCTGCGGGCCGGCGGCGGCGCTGCGGGGGCGCTGCGGGCGGAGGTTTGCGCGGCCCGCGGAGGGGCCGCATCGCCTGCACCGCCCGCACCGCAGCACCCGGCGCGGCCCCGGGGCACGGGCAGCGAGCGAGCGAAGGAGAAAGGGAGGCCTCCGGAGAGCCGGCAGCACTAATGCGTGGGTGGGCTGGATGCCCAAGACAAGGAGAAATTTTTTGTATGTGTGTGTTTTTTTTGTCTCGTGGACGCCATCAGGCCGCTTTGGACTCGTCTGGACTAAGGCTGTTGTCCAGGTTTGTCGTCTTGGTCATCTTCCCGAAGAAAAGGAGCTCTCGGGTTAGTAATTGTATTCCTGAGCAAAATAGAACATCATGTGTTTTGTGTGCAAATGAGGTTCTTTTGAATACTTGGGCGTAAGATTCGCTTAATTAAATCCCACATTGAGTTTTGTTGCAAGAGAATCTATCATTGAGGAGTATTACATTGGACACTTAACCATTTTATACGTCTGAATTACCTTTTCTATTAAATAGATGCTCCAGTGTTATCATACATGTAGCCAAAGTACAAAGATGTAGCCTATTATGTACATTTAATTAAAAAAGTCTGTTTTATGATTAGGAAAACCAATGGTGTTTTACAGGATTTCTCTAGCAGTCTCTTGTGCATTGTTACTGCAGTAGGTGGTTGTAGTCAAGGCCCTTTGCTTGCACATGCAGATAGGATGTGGCTAATCTTAGAAGGTATGAAATCTGTAGAAATTAGTTTTAACATCTACATGAGTGCTTTGAGAACTGGGCATGGAGGGATATGTGCTTTTAATGGGACTCTTCCCCCTCCTCTCATTTTCTTCAGTGCCATCTTTCCTTGCTGTATTGCTTACAGGCCTTAGAGAAAGGCAGTGCTACATACTAGTCAGTATGCTCTGGATGTACAAAAAGATTCTCAAAATGGTCGTGAATTGTGTGAAATGATGAAATGAGCAGCATACACTTAAAAAGTTGATCATAGATGTAATGATGAACAACTGTATAAACATCTCTGAGCACTCTCTAGACTATTGCTTTTGACAGGGTAGTTATTTGGGAATGCCTTGTTAAGCTTATTGCAGGAAGACCACCAAGCAGTTGAGTGATATAATAGAAGTGTGTATCTTTCAGATACGAATAAAGCTAGGCCTAGGTCCTAGAGCCACAGGGAAGCAGACCTCCATTTCAGTAGAATACTGCATAGTACATACATGTACTTGCCTTCATACAGTACCAATAAACGTCAGTAAATTGGACATTTTTTCACTTATACATTTGAAAAGTATTGTTTTAATCAATGTTTTGCATGACTTTATAGGTAGTAAACATTTTAAATGTAATTGATTTTTTTTCTGTAGAGTGAAAGAACTGTATATTTTATAATAAAAATGAGCTCTAAAAACTTGATGCATGGTTTTTGCTCTTCTTAATTCTCTGCATTGTCATTCCTCATTAATTTTGATTGAAAATCTTCACGTGAATTTTAGATACAAACCAAAAACTGTTATGACTGTGTGATTAGCTGTTACTGTGAAACAAAATGGTTTTTTTAAAGAAGAAATAATTGCAGACAAAATTTATGTGGTTTATTTGAATAATTTGTTTTTAACGCAAAATTAATTATATTAATTAATACACCATGCAATACTTGAGTGAAACACGTGTTATCTCTCCCAGTCATTAGGCCTAAAATTAGTGACTGATAATTGTCAGCTTTGTAGTTGGGTCAGTAGAACAGTTAACTCTGCTTAACAGAGATGGTTGATGTTAAACGGTCTATATATATATATATATATATAATTACAAAATACAGAGAAGGTAGTTTTAAGCAAGCATGGAGATTTAAATTTTTCACAGGGACTCAAAATTTACACATTGCATCCCCCTGATAAAGTCATGCACAGGAGATGCATGCATACATGTCTTCCAATTTTGCTTAAACTTCTTTCTCCTAGGCATGACTTACATGGGCTTTTCAGTACCAAAGCACACCTTGATTGCTGGCTGCAGCCTGTGAACTTAGTGTGTGAGAGGTGTGTGCTTTGCTGAAGTAAGGGCTCATTTGCTTGATCACATAGGATAAATGCTGTTCATCACACCCTCTTCGTTGATAGCAGCATAGAGTTTGAGCTAAAGGGAACTAAATCCCTGCACTATAAATGTGTTTCCTTGAAATGATGAACAAAGTATTAATGTATTTGAAGTAAATAGAAATTGTCTGCCTCACAGGGTCTACATCAGTGGTTTGTAATGCTTTGCAGTGCAAAAACCCTTCTACTGGATGAATTTGGCATAGTCAGGCTGCACAGGAGGTTTCATCCTATTTTCCTTTGTTTTAATGGATCTTTTTAACCATTACATTCATGTGATATCCACAGTTTGGAATGCCTTTTGACTCCTGTGGATCTATTAATCTCCGTGTCTTGAGCAGCAAAGTTCAAGATGCGCTACTGTAATGTGAAAGGTGGGAATACTTATTTTCATTGAATGACTGACTTTTTGATGTCACTGAATTGCAGGGGTTTGGTAGAAGGAGTGAATGAGGAAGTTCAGTTTATCTTTCTTCTGCTGTCTCTTTCTTCCACATGCCTCTAAATTTTTACTTCTTTTTTATTTTCCTTTTAAAAAAATACTAGCACCTCCAAATTTTTTTTTTTTTCATTTCTCCTAATTCGAGTACCTTATTGTATTTCTACATACTTTTGCTATTTTTTTTCCTGAATCCATTACTGTAAAGATAATGACTGGAACTGATTTTAACACTCTTATTGTCTCTTACTCCATTCTTCATCCATCCTGTTCCTATGTTTGCCATTCACTCCTTTAGACTTTCAGGTCTTCCTTTAATGATGTCTTTGGATTGGTCTGTGTGCACTGCACATGATTTTAACTTGAAAAATCAAGTATCTATCTTTAAATTAAATCTTCTCTAAACACCAAAACAAATCTTAAGGGGAATTCTTCCCTCTTCCACCCTCCCCCAGTGGTACAGAGTTAATGTATGTAATGTTCTCCTTGCTTTGTACATTGATGATCTCAGTTTTTTGACGTAACCAGAAAAAAGAAAATTTTAATATAAGCATGAAATTACAATCTCATTTTGTGTTTGTTGCATTTAAAATAATGTTAAATTGGACCTGTTTGTATCAAAACTTTTCTTATTAACTGTTTAGTGTTCAGGGTACATGGTGAATTACTAGCTAGGGAGACAGCAGAGATATTTGGCATCAACTCATTATTCAGTTCTTTTTCACCTTGTACGAGGTCTGGCTTGGGATGGATTTAAAAAGCAGCCTGTACAGTGATGTGTTTTGGATCTGTGGCTAAAAGCGTTGATAACATACCAGTGTTTTGGTTGTTGCCGAACAGCATTTGCACAATGCCAAGGTTTTCTTTTCCCCCTCTCTGCCTTTGAGTAGGCGTGGAGTGGGCAAGAGACTAGGAAAGCAGACAACTGGGACAGCTGATTAGAACTGGTCAGGGGGATAGTCCATTGCATGTAACATCATGCTTAGCCTTGAAAACTGGAGGTAGAGGAAGAAGAAGAAGGGGAGAGGGGCGTTGCCTTCCAAGGTGACTGCTGCTCGGAGACTGGCTGGGCATTTGTCTGATTGTGGAAGGTGGTGAGTGATTTTCCTTATGTCACTTTCCTGCCTCTTTCCTTCTATTCAGCTATCTTTGTCCTACCCATAAACTTTCTTGTGCTTTGTCTCTACTTCACTCTCTTCCTACTCAGGGAGGAACACCAGCAAGCGGTTGTGTGGCTGCTTGGCTGCTGGCTAGGATCAACCCACCGCACATATGGAAGATAGTCACACACCAAGACTCGAGGCCTGGATTCTAGCAACATGATATTTGTCACAGGTCTGAATGAAAGCTTGGTTTTGGGGTTAAACCCTGACAAACCTAGCTGTTTTATCTTTCTTACATAAAACTGTTTGAATTAGGAAAGTTTAGTAGGATTACTAGCCTATTCTTTGAACTGCCTCTTACATTTTTTGTAGTGTCTTCTTGGACTGAGCAGCCCAGATCTGTCTGGGCTGTCTTCTAAAGTGAAATGTTCTTAAAATGCTGGACTGTGTTTCTTGTACTTATCTACCCTTAAAAGCATGTGAATTGTTTTTCATGTTGTCCCTTAAGATGAAGTTCACAATGTAAAAAAAATATAAGAAAATTCTCTGGATTTATAATACTTTTTTTTGTGGTTAAGCATGCTGGTGGCATAAAGTGCTCTATATGTAGCTTTTGGTCAGTTCATGTGGAAGACAGTTTCAGTATCAATGGATAGCTCTTAACAGCAAAGAGAAGGGAAGTGCTGACCTAACCTCACCCCTTCCTTTCAAATGCAATTTTAGTTCTTTCTTAAAGCTTACAGAAATGTGCAAAGCATCTTGGTCTGGATATTGAGTTAATCAAGATCTCTTACCATCTTTCTCTTGAAGCAAAACAGTGGATCTCCTGAACACAGACCTACCATCACACTTGTGTGTCAATGGGTTCATCTTAAGTCTAAAAAGTGGTAGTAGCAGAGGACAAATGTTCCATATGAACTACTGCACACATTTGCTTTTTCTTTCTTTAGAATCAGGATAATAGAGGGCATAATGTCACCCACATTAGAATTGCTTAAAAAAAAAAATCTCCAGATCATGATACAGCAGTCATGTATACTTTCCTCCTTCCTACAAGGCTGCTATTGGTTTCTTTTTCACATTTTTCACAAGTGTTTTCACAGCTGTCTACCTTGCACTGAGATGAAGTTACCACAGTTGTAGAACTACCTGCTAAGGAGTTTTAGTGTGCAGCCGTTCATCTTCTAAAGAGTGAAAAACTCTTTATGTTGTCCCTAACCAGTCTTCTAACTTATTTTTACTGTTATTTGAGGTTACATTCAGTATACATGCTCTTTGCAGAGCCTCATCTTTAGGGCAGCATTGCTGTAGCAGTTAGGGATATTGACAGATGGAGCACAGAAATACAGAATCACTGAATGGTTTGGGTTGGAAGGGACATTAAAGATCATGTAGTTCCAACCCCCCTGCCATGGGTAGGGGCATCTTCCACTAGACCAGGTTGCTCAGGGTTCCATCCAATGTGGCCTTGAACACCTCGAGGGATGGGGCATCCACAGCTTCTGTGGGCAACATGTACCAGTGCCTCACCACCGTCACAGTAAAGATTTTCTTCTTAATATCTGATCTAAATCTACCCTCCTTCAGCTTGAGGCCATTCCCCCTTGTCCTATCACTACATGCCCTTGTGAAAAGTTCCTCTCTAGCCTTCTTGAAAGCCTGCTTTAGGTACTGGAAGGGACTAAAAGGACTCCCCAAAGCCTTCTCTTCTCCAGCTCTCTCAGCCTGCCTTCATAGGAGAGGTGTTCCTGCCCTGTGATCAACTTGGAACAATTCCAGAGGAGAGCCACTAAAAGGCCCACATCTCTCTTGTGTTGGGGGTCCCATATCTGGACAGTACTCCAGGTGGGGTCTCACAAGAGCAGAGTAGAGGGTCATAATCATGTCCCTCAACCTGCTGGCCACGCTGCTTTTGATGTAACCCAGGATACAGCTGCTCCCTGGGCTGAGGGCATGTAAGATTTGGGTAAAGATGTTTGGGTGAGATGCTGGCTTCTGTCAAGCCATTGGGGAGATCACAGAATCATTTAGGCTGGAACAGACCTCCAAGAGTCCAACCATTAACCCAGCACTGCCAAGCCAGCCTTTTCTCCTGAGCCTCCTTTTCTCTAGGCTAAACACTCCCAGTTCCCGTAGCCACTCCTCATAAGACCTGTGCTCCAGACCCTCTACTAACTTTGTTACCCTTCTGTGGAAATGCTTCACTACCTCAATGTCTTTTCAGTCCAATACGGTAATTTCTTCATTAATGTATGATTATTGTCATGGGAAGCTACTTATGTGATCTCAGCACTGTGCTTTTGGGGTCTAAATCAGATCTTGATCTCTGTAGATAGTCTTGGTGAGGAACTAGATTTCAGAAGCAGAAGCCATCTGTTGGTTGTATTGAAAAGGCATCTAGAATTAACCTCAGGAAATAGATTTTTTGTGAATGCCATGTGAATTTTGTGCAATGCCATGTCTGTAATTAACTGTTAGAATAAGAAAGATGTTGGGTAGATTTTATTTGTTGGTGTTAACTTTGGACTTCATTTTATGTATGTCTCAAAAGCCTAATTTAGTTGTTTATTTTCCACTAACAGTGGTCAGTCTTGCCAAAAACTTAAAGGCTGAGATCTTGTTCCTGTTAAATGTAGTAAAGAGACAGTCAGAGTGCTGGAACTTGTGGGGCCAAATATACCGCACATGTTAATGTGGTGGTTTACAGTGATACTGCTGTTCTCCCTCTGTGTTATATTGCATTCTTTATTTTGCTTGATTGACGACAGTCTGTATTATCAGGGTGCAGTGAATTATTTATATGCTTGTCCACATATATAGAAGTGATTACACTGTGATATTAATAGAAGAGAAAGTAATTAATTTTGCAGCCACTGATTGTTTTGACTTCATTACTTTGAGAACATGTGAATCATGAATCTTCTTATGAATTAGCACTCAAGACTGTTTGGATCTGAAGCATTGGCACTGATTAGAAAAGAACTTCCCTCTGTATGTCAGGAATTTCTGTGCTAACTTAAAAATCCTTATATTTAAAAACAAACAAATAGTTCTGTGTTTCTAGTAACCATTGTAACCATGTTCTGTTTCCCTGCTGGGATTCACAAATGAGTGGCACTTGCACTGTTTCGTAATATCTTGTCCTGAATTGAAGGCTGTATATGAACTGAAGTCATACTCTGCTGCTCAATTCTGTTACCAAGTATCTTTCTTGTTAGGCTTCTAAATATGTTTCTTAAATGTAAATTTTTTCTTGACATGGGGGAAGTATCATGAACTGTTTAGGTTTTGATACATAGCAGATAACTTAAGTATTTTTGAAATTTTTGAATAAGAGGAAATGTTAAGGGATTATTTGATTTGGTATGTTTTGCTTAGGGTTAGTGGTGTATGTACAGAATACAATCAGTGGTATATTAACAGTGGACTTGCACTCTCTAATTCAGCTGTAGTCTGCTAATAGTTCACTTATTAGTTCATTGTATTTCAGTGATCACTGAATCCTAACTGACTTAATTTTCTGCTTTTTATCCTTTAGTGCTGCAAGTTGATTGACTAAAATTAAGAACATGGAATATAATACAGATGCAGTTGCTTGAACATCGTTCCTTCCAGAGCATATATTCTGCAGATTGGCAGCCTGAATGATTGATTGATTGATAAGCAACATATACAAGACTAATACCACAAAAAAATTTTATCTGTTGCTGCTGTGTTTGATGAAAGTGGTACAGAGTCACATCTTCTGAAATGCAGTTGAAAAAAATGAGGGAAATTTTACCAAGATTGTACCCTGGCCAAGTTAATGATAGGAATAATTCCCTAACTACACCCCGAAAGCAATCTTCTGAGGATAAAACAAATCCATCAAATGGGGAGGATGACCAAAACTGCTGTTACCAAGGAACTGAGGCTGAGAACAATAAATTGTCACTGATAAGCTGTATAAAATGCAGAAGTGTTCAGAAAATTTCAGTGCAAGATATAGAGAAGTGTAAGAAGACTGGGTGGACTGAAGACAAAACTTTCATCTGCAAGAAGTGCAGTCATATTGCACCACCAGCTTTCCATTTTGTTCCCAAGGGTGCCAGTGCTGCAGACTTTAAAGAACATGAAAGGAAAACCCCAAGTAAACCCCAGAAAACATTTAAAGTAAAAAATTTTTTGCCAGGTAAATACTACTGTGATAAATGTAGATTTTCAACAAAGGATCCTTTACAATATAAAAAACATGTAGGGCAACATGAAGAAATTAAGTTTTTTTGTTCCCACTGTAGTTATGTATCCTACACCAAAGGAGAATTCCAGAGACATTTGGTGAAACACACTGGAACTTTCCCATATCAGTGTGAGTACTGTGACTATGGTGCTGTTAGACATGACTATATAGTAAAGCATACGAGAAGAGTACATGAAACACCCACAAAACGGCTGTCGAATACTCTCATAAAACACAAGCAAAAGAAGCCGGGTCAAAGCACTTTATGTAAAAAGCAGAAATACAATAAAATTCCTTTTCAGAATGAATTTTTGAATTTGTCTTCAAATATGGTTTGTGAAATTCCAGGTAAAGCAACTAAAACAGTCTGTTCATCTCATAATGTAGAATGTAGTGTAAATGCAGCGTCAGTCCAGGATAAAACTGTGCTGGAGCCATCTGAAATGAGTGTATGTGAGAATCAAAGTGTGGAGGTTGAGGTGTATTCTCCAAAAACAGAGCCTTTACAGCCTGGGATGCCTTTAACAGTAATTGCACCGTCTGAACTTGTAGTTCCTTCTAACTGTTTAGCTCAGATAGTAGAGATTAAAATAGTGAATGGAGCACAACAGCTGGTTCTTAAACTAATTCCTATGAAAGAAGCAACTTACAAATCTGTGAACTGTGCTGAAGAGGAACTTGAGAGTCAAGGTATAGAACGATCTACAGAAGGAAAAAACCCATCATCTGTGTCTCAAAATGACTTACTAACCACGGAAACGAATGTAGACAAATCATCCAGTGTTAGTAACCAGCTTAATTTGGATAGTACGGATGACAAAAATTCTGAATGTCTTTCTTCTTCTGATTCTCAACTCTCAACCTGTAGCTCTGTATCTATACAGAGAGAAGATGCATCAAAATTATGCTTTCATTTGGTGAAAGGTATTGATGTCCATTCAGGTGTTATAAAACTCTGTTCTCCATCTCTAGTAATGAACAGTACTGAAAAAAAAAGTGATTTTAAATCCTCAAGGGATGAAGTAGATAGAAAAAATAATTTCCATTGTGATTTGTATCGTTATGAAGAAGCTGAGGATATAAACCTTCAAAAATATGCTTCTGTTTCTGAAGAGAAAGGTTCCAAGAACATTTCATTAGAGGCTGCTCAGGAGAGCAAAAATTATTCTGCAGTCCTAAAAGAAAAGGATACATTGCCTGTGAAAAGGGATGACAAAGAATGTAAGAGTCCGCCAGTCAGCTCTACAGAAGCACATTTAACTGGTATGGGTTTTGATAAAAAATGTATTACCTCTTCTGAGGCAGCAAAAAAATTTCGCATCACTAAAACTTCACCTTTTGAGGATATAACTTTAGGCTTTAGCAAAGTAAAGAGAGCTGAAACCATAAGTCAAAAGAACAGTCATCTTCTGGAATCACTAGAACTACAGAAGATGGAAAATAAAGGCAGTCCTTCTGAAGGACCTGTTATTTCATCTGTATTTTCTCTTAGCTCTGGGGCTGAAAACATTCCAGAGGATGCCAGATGGGTTGACAAAACACGCAATAAGAAGTCAGCAACATTGCTGTGTAGAAAGATTGCTCAGCTCATGTCTGCTGCTGAATCTAACATGAAATCCATGCCTTTGAGATGTCAAACTTCTCGTAAGAAGGTGCTTTTGGCTCAAGAAAGTTCAGCAAGTTGTGAGAGAGTTGTATGTGCCACTGAAGCAGAACAGCCTGTAACTTTGTCTCAAGAGCATAGTGGAAACAGTGTGATTAGTAGCAAAGAACACAGTGAAGATCAGCTGTTTACATTTGCAAGAACATCTAAAAACAGGGTGACTAAAAATTCCCATGTTGCTACTCCAGTCTTTATCCCTAAAGGGACAATGCTGAGAGTGCTGAATGCTACTAGCAGTCAAAACTCAGACGGAATAGAAAACAACCGTGAAACATCAGCTCCTTCTGTGTATTGCAATGAAATGTTTCTGCCTCGCCCAGTCCCCGTTAGTGTTTCTGAGACACTTAGTGATAGTTTGCCATGTTTGCCTAATCAGAGTGAACCAAATGCTGAGTCCCGAAGTATATCACTCAGGCAAAGACCAAAGCGAGAGGCAAGTGTTAAAAATAATAGCAAACAAACTGGTGTACTATTTCAGAAAAGCAGTGATGTGAGCAAGCAAAGTAAGCCCTATTCAAAAAGTCAGTTAGGTCCCAAAAATAAGGCAAAACAGGCAAGCTTCAGAGAACTTCCTAAAAGGAAAGCAAGAACTCAGTTGGACACCACGCCAAGTTCTGACATGTCATACCTGTTGACAGCAAGACGTCTTCGGCTTGTCCCTCTGAAAAGGAATCAATTGATAAAATGCCCTCGTCGTAACCAGCCAGTTGTGGTACTAAACCATCCTGATGTTGATTCACCAGAGATAATTAATGTCATGAAGACTATCAACAAGTATAAAGGTCAAGTCCTGAAAGTAGTTCTGTCAGAAAGGACAAGTAGTTGTCTTGGTATCAAACGTTATCGAAAGCGTCTTACTCTTCAGAATGCTGAGACAGGAAACCAAACAAAAAAGCAGAGTATGCTAAAAATGAAGCTAAAAAAGACCCATAAAAACAACTACCAGGTAGTGGAAACCTCACCAGCTGAAACTCTTCAGTGTCTGTTTAAGTGTTGGTTTTGTGGAAGAGTGTATATGGACCAAGAAGAATGGATAAGTCATGGACAGAGGCACTTAATAGAGGCAACCAAGGGTTGGGATGTTCTTTCTCTTCAAGCAAAAAACCATTAAGTGAGAGACTAGCGGAGGTTTCCCCTCTTGTTTTTAATGAGTGCCACTAACGTGCTTGGGATGGAGGATTGAAATAACTGCTTTACTTTGCCAAAAGATCTCCGCTGTTAGCAAAGTGGAAGAAGAGAGCGGAGTTAGAGAGAGAGAGAGAGAAGCTGATAGCAAGGATTAAGCACTACTTTGCACTCTCATGCTTGAAATTTGTATTGGAGGTCAATTTCATCTGTTCCATGGGAGAAATTTGAAAAAGATTTGCTATGCAAACATCTTTCTAGTTACCCTAGGATACTGTGCTGTAACTGGTTCGTGCTAGGTCTCTGTGGATTAAAGTCTTAGATGGTGAGAGCTTTGTAAATTTAACAGGATTTAGTTTGCTTTATTGCAGCATGGTGTTTCAGAGATCCAACATGTGTACTGAAAAGCACCTTTGGTCCTCGGTGGACAGCAAGTGTATATCATAGGTTTTAGTGGAAAACTAAGCACTATCCATAAAAAGTAAAAGTTAAATGCAAGTGCTCTGTTTCAGTGAAATAAAAACACTTCTACCGACTCCAGAGGAGATACAAGGGTGTAAATGAAAAATCTGTGGAATCAGTTACTCCTCACTAGGTCAGATAGCACTAAAAAGATGAATTTTGTTTAGTACTTAGTCTTTGCTTAGCCTGTATTGTGTAGATGTGAAACAACAGAGCAGTCAGGGTTCTGTACCATCAAGCCAGAAATACAATCAGGCTTGAGTTGATAGGAACAAGAAGCACTTCTCTATATGGCCTCTAGGCTGTTCTGAAATAGTAATAGCCAAATATAAACCCTCTACCACCATGTGTGATAGAATATTTACAGAACTCAGCATTTGGTTAGAACTCTAGTTAGTGAGCTTATTTACAGAGGAACTCGCTGAAGATGAAGACTTTTCAAAATGAAAAGCCATGTTGCACAGCTTTTACATTGACAGTGTTGAATCAGATTTTCAGTGCAATCTTTCATTATTCTTAAGAATTTAGATGTTGTTACAATATATTTTTTGTAAGCCTCAAATTCATACAAGCATGTGCCTAGTTACAGATTATGTCTAACATATACCTACTGACTTCAGTGCAGTGTGAACATTGCTCAGTTGCTTAAACAATTTTCTAAATCAGGGCCAAATTACAAGTTTTAGTGAAGAAGAGGAATGGATGACTGAAGTCTACTGTTTCTGTATGTGTACTATAGATGTTTGTCTTCATCTTGTCAATTTTAATTCATTTTAGAATCATGTAGAATGAAGTATATTGAAGCACATACAATTAAAATAACTTCTTGCAATTTTAGGAATAAGAATATCAATACTGACTCTAATGCTGGATGTGTGTTCTATGTTTGAACTGGGACTTCTCTTGAAAAACTGGTAGTCCCTGACTCTTTTCACTGTTGGTGCATTTTTGTAAACAGTTTAAGCTGGGAATATTTTTTATATACTCCAGCAGATTATACATTGTTTTGATAAAGTATTTATCATGTCTGCATTGCAATACAGTGTTAAAATCCTTCAGATAGTTGGTGCTTTAAGTCAGATTGTTTTTGTCATGTACACATTGAAAATTTTTGTATCATTTGTATCAGACTAGCCTATTTCACAGAACAAACTTTGTTTTGCCTGTTTTGTCAATAATAAGGAAATGACAGTTCTCATTTTGTATTCAAATGGAATTATATTTTTTTAGATGGGTACACTAGAGGGTTTTTTTTTCACTTCATATACTTTGATGCCAAACCTAACAGTGCTCTTTGCATTTTCAATGGTGAGAACAGTTTCTGTTTTAAAATTCTGGCATATCATACACAATAAATACTGAAATGGTTAACATAAAAAAAACCCAACATGGTTAGAATTCCTCCTTCGTTTTAACTCCTTCAGTCCAGGTTACTGTTTGAATTAATTTTGTTTCTGTAGAAGCTACTAAATAAATAGTTTTGAATTTGCTTCGTAAGAGTTGTCATTGGCAAAATTAAAACATTGCGCATGAAAGTTGTACTGGGGAGGGGCAGGGGAGGTGTTACTCCTCAACTTTATAAGCTCTATGTGGATTAAGCATACTAGTAATGCTTGTCTTCATCTGTAAGCAAGTTTACTGTTTACTTTGGTAAAAATCTGCAAAACTTGGTATGTCACTGCCATAACCTGCTATCTAAATTTTTGAGATGTGGGGGTTTAATGGTTTTTAATTTAGATTTTTTTTTTTTTTTTAACATGGAAGTCTTTTGTAAGTGAAATTGTATTGTGGCTATGAAACTCTTAAAGCAGGTTACATCATGCTTCTTTTTATGAGCTCTGCTAAACTCTACTTTAGGAACTTCTGTTTTGTTAATTTTATTCTTATTAGAAAATGTTATGTCAGAGTAATTTCCTCTGAGTTTAACAGGTTCATCAGTTTGAGAAAAATAATTACAGTGAATGTTCTTTTGCATTTTGATGCAGCATCAAGAAATAAAAATGTTTCAAGAAAATAACAACCAACTGCTAAATTTTTTTAGAGCTGGTTTGTGCCACCTACTACATCATAAATTGGGTTGGAATGTTGTGGTTTTGGGCTTGAGTGTTTTTATTCTTGTTCCTGTTCTTAAGGGTAAAGTAACCGAGGTTAATTTTTTGTAAATTCCAATTACCTAGCCAAACTTTCTGAGTGTGCTTAGAAAGGAAGACTATGGATGCTATGGTTTGCCTTTCATACACATACGGAATTTAGTTAGACCTTCTAAAACTCAGATTGTATGAATAAGTATCACAGTATTTTTTTGCTGGAAAAAATCAAATTCTTATGTTCTTTGATACAAACTAGAGTATGTTTTCTTGTTGAGTTTGAAGCACATCTACTGTTCCTACTTTTGATTTTTACCTCTATATTTGCACATAGTATGAATCCAAAGTGACTACATAATTGTTCTGCTATGTTAAGTGTTTGAAGCCTCACGTATGGAATACAAGTATCAGCTATGCAAGCTAAACAGTGTTAGCTGTAATTATGTAAATTCTATTACTTAACTAGCTTTATAATCTGCTCCAATGCCTATGAGCAGCAGCTGACACTCACTTCAGTGCTGGCTGAGCACAGCTTGTTGTTGAGCAAACGTACGCACACCACATGAAATTGTTAGACAGTGAGAGCCCTGGCACGTAGCATTTCATGTGTATTTTTAAAAGCAAGAATATTTTTATTTATATGACTGTGATATGCTTTATTAGCTTTTTCTTAGTGGAGTTGCCATAACATTTAGGTGAGCGAGGGTGAGTTTGGTTTCCATCTTATGGTAGAAGGTAGAGTGCAAGATGAGCAAATCCGTCCGTTGTTGTCAGGATATCAGGAGTCGGTCTCAATACTTCTCTGTGAATTAATACGTTGACATATACCTTACCTGTATCCTCAAAGTTAGATTGCAACAATCAAAAAATGGAGTAGATTTGTGGAATGCTACATAACATTATGAGGAGCTCCTCTCCCAAAAGGCTAATCTGATTTTTGAGACATTTAAATAACTGTTCTATTCACATCTGTACAAATGAATCAGTGAAGTTAAGGCAGAAAACATCTGCGTGACTTGAATGGATGTGTGAGGTAGCATTGTTCTCTGTGAGTTCCTGACTGATCCTTTCCGTCAATGAGTGTTATGGGAACATATTTGTAGAATTCAATGATCTCTTCCACAGAATTAAATTTCTAGGGAGGGAAAAAAGTAGTAATCAGTGACTGAAAATGAAATTGCTATATGGTTTAATCTATAACATTAAAAGACTTGCAATGGACAATATTAAAAATAGGTAGTATTTTGCATAGAATTATGATTAGATGGAAGTGATTATGAAAGGAAAAGTACCGTATTTTGATCCTCTTATTTCCTTATGTGTCTCTGTCTTGTGTAAGAGAGCAGCTGGCTGCTTAGGACAAAAGGGGAGCATATCTAAGACCTGATAATGCAGTATCACCTATAAAAGTTTGTGATGCCAGGTGTGATGATAGATGTTGAAATGACAAAATAACTATAAATCATCACTGACTTTTTGCTGGCAAAAATTGCACTTAATTAGCAGTACATGATACTTTACACTACAAGTTTCATTGCACCATATTAAATGTAACCTTTTTTTTCCCCCAAGCAGTTTCTTGAGAAAGTTACTATAAAATCTCTTTAAAATTTGGAAGAAGAAGCATCCCAGCAGGGTAGTAGTCTTGTTCTCTTGTGCTCAAAACAAAGCCATTCTCTAAGCACATTCCTGAAGTGATAAAAGGTATGGTTCGAGATTGTTGACCTGATCAAACAGCAACCAAAAGCTATCCAAGGTGTCTATCCTTGTGGATATGTCTTCCCCCTGTCCTAGTGGGAGTGTCTTAATCCTCCCATTCCAAAGTTAGCAGTCCTTCAGTTTAAATCGTGGTCTTCCCTGTGTCTAACTTCCAAGGTCTCATCACACCATGAAGCTCTCACCATATCACTGGTTTTCCTCTTGGGCTGTTCTTTGGACTCATTGGTATTAAATCACTAGAACTGCACACAGCAATGCAAGCTTACTTTGACATTAATACTCATCACATATTTATGTAACATTTACTGTGAGTGTGAATCTTCATTGTACACCTGGTGGTATCTTGTGATAGTTTCTCTCACCCCCACCTGTTTCACACCTACATTATAACAATAGAATCTGATTAAATATGTGACCTTATGAAGATGTTCCTGTATTAAGATGAAAGCCAGTGTGCTAATTTTTTAGTTTTGTTTTGATAATTTTACTTGTATACATTTGTTCTACTTTACTGTCTTGTCTTTGCTTGTGTTCAAAGTCACTGTTGCTACTGAAAATCCAGGCAAAACTGTGGTTTGTATTTCATGCCATAACAAAGTAATCCTTACTTTTTTTATTCTAAACATTTTGTGAGCACCAATTCTTTTCCTGCTTTCTAATGTGTTTTGTTTTGTTTTGGTTTGGTTTGGTTTGGTTTGGGTTTTTTTGTTGTTGATTGGGAAGTTAAAAAATCTTACTCTAATTGCTCACCTGCTTTGGAAATTTAAATAGGCTAATGTCACATTATTCATTGCTGTACCTTTATGCTGTAGTTTTTTGGTAATGAGGGAAAAATGTTTCAGATGTTACTTAGGTATTTTTTTCTATTTTATTTCATGCTGTACTCTTATTTGAGTTAATGAATTTTAATAATATTAAGCTCAGAATTTCTTTATATCTGCTAGAACATGAAGTTGACTTAGACATCGTAATGATGAGGTCCAGAATTTTATGTCCTCAGATGTTTTAATGGAACTCCCCCCACACTTTGTTAGGCTTAAAGATACCTGAAGACATAAAGACAAAGAAAATTAGGTAGTTGATTTGTTTCCCTTCACTGTGTGAAGAGACTAATGCAATCTCTGCTGTTGTAGGAATGTCCTATCTGCTAGTCTCCAGGCTGTTCTGGAGAGATGGGAATAGGCTATCAAGAATTGTTCATGACAGACATAGTTTTGAATTGTATTGGGGTGATGGTAGGACTCTGGGCTCTGTCACACACCCTGAATGAGACTATTCATCCTTGAGGTGTCATTTAAGCTGTGGACAAGATATTTACAAGGTAAACATCTTTCTCATTTGGAAGTATTAGCTTTTGCTGTGCTTTTTTTCCTGGCAGTAACTTTTGATATAACACTGTCAGTGGAAGGCATCGTGGAAGTGCTCCCTAATCTACTTGGACAAGTCAGGCCAGTTTGATGGCTGGTGAAGGTAGGTGGAACTAATCCATTTGACTCACATGGAAATAAACTGAGTGAAATGATGTAACTGGTATGACTGATAGTTTGAAGATGAAAGTTAGCTGCAAATAGAGTGGTGAGAATGGAGAAAATATTTGTGTCCAGAACAGGGAGATCCAGAGATCTACACCAGACCATCCTTCTTTGTAAAATAGGCACGGAGTTCAAGAGAAGCCTACTTCTGCCTTTGATTTTTAGTTACTGACTTGGGAGTTGAGCCTGGTGCTGCAGACATATAACCTGTATTTTGTGTGTGGCAGATCTAGTTTTGCAAAGGAGATAAGAAAAAGATTTAAATTTTGTGTCATTATCATCTTTAAACGTGAGCAAAATTTGTATTTCTTCATCTTCAAAAGAGTTATGCACATGGAAAGAGGCAGTGTTACAGGATCTCTGGATCTTTACTAGCGAAACTGTCTGTTGTAGAGAAAGGCAATAGCCAAGTAAAGAATGCTCACGACAGCTGTTTTGAATGTAAATGCCTAAATTACATGTATGCCTCATTTGGGGATCTTATCCTTATAGCTTTATATGATTTGGCCTTTAGTAAGCTCAATATAATATATTAAAGATGTATTTAGATGTGAGCATCTGTGGCTAAATTGCTAGCAAAAGATGTACCTCCCCAAGAGAGTTAGTGGTGGACTGGTTTTGTTTTTCTTCCCCCTCTACTTGTATTCATTATATTAGAGTTTGATACTAATTTAGCTATATGGAACTTCAGTTATTTCAAACATAAAAATCTGATCATCAACCCCTCTTCCCCCCTCTTCAAGGCCTTATAGGGCTACGTGAGAAGCATGCTAGTGACAGAAGCACTCATGAGAGTTGAATTAAGTAAGTTTTAAAAAATAATTGTGTAATTGAAAATCTTATTTGATGATACAATGCTTTAGCAACTTGTAAACTGTATATGAAAAATCAAAAGTTGCAGTAGTATGGGGGAAACTTTGAATAATTATATTTACATGTAAGGAAAAGCATCTTTTTAATGGATGAAAATAGACTAATTCAAAAGTGAAAACACACTGCAGAAAATCTGTTAAGACTGAACCTCTGAACAAAATCACCAACTGGGGTGAAATGTAGTAGGTCTGCACCTGTTTTTGGTGCTTAGATTTCTTTCTCTTTGGCAGGTGAAGAGGGAGTATTCAGCTAATCTAGATAGAGCATCTGGTCTGACTGCACTGTG